GATCAGGGGACAGGGACCCCAGGGTGGCAGAGGGACCCTGGGGTGGGGGGACAGGGGCACCAGGGTGGCACAGGGAACCCGGGGTGGTGGCACAGGGACCCCGGGATCAGGGGATAGGGACCCCAGGGTGGCAGAGGGACCCTGGGGTGGGGGGATAGGGACCCCAGGGTGGCAGAGGGACCCCGGGAGTGGGGGACAGGGACATCGGGGTGGCGCAGGGACCACGGGGTGAGGGGACAGGGACCCCAGATCAGAGGACAGGGACACCGAGGTGGCACAGGGACCACGGGGTGGCAGAGGGACCCTGGGAGGGGGGGACAGGGACACTGGGGTGGCACAGGGACCACGGGGTGAGGGGACAGGGACCCCAGATCAGAGGACAGGGACCCCAGGGTCAGGGGACAAGGACCCTGGCATCAGGACACGGACCGCGGGATCAGGGGACAGTGCCCCTGGGGTGGTGACAAGGACCCCGGGGTGGTGGCACAGGGCCCCCGGGCTGAGCCAGCCCCAGGGGTGGCAGCTCCCCGTGCTCCCTGCCAGGATCAGGAGGTTCCGGAGCTGGTCCCGTGCCGAGGACACCCTGGAGCTGAGGAGCAAACAGGACCTGTCACAGGTGGGGACCTCGGTGGGGACAGCCCTGGGGTCCCCTGAGCTCCCGGGGGGTCCTTCCCGGGAATCCCCGGGCTGGGAATGGGATGTGGATCCAGGATCCCGCCCAGCCCCGCGGTGCCACCACAGCCGTGGTGTCACTGTCACAGGGACTGGAGGGACAGAGCCCGGTGGGGACCCAAAATCCCCGTCCCAGCCTCATTCCAGAGGGGTTCCAAGGCACAGATGGATGCCAGCCCCTCCAGGGACGCTCGGGATGCTCCTCTGTCCCCATGGAGTGTCCCCAGCCGTTCCCAACCTTTTCCAGATGGACGGAGCATCCTGACCTGGCGGCTCTTGGATCCCAGACCTGCTGTGCCCGCTGGAATTTCCCAATCCTGGCTGGATCCAGGGACTCCCCTGGGGATCCCCCAGCCCCATTCCAGCCCCTCGTCCCTTCCCGATGGATTCCGGTCACCGCCTCACGTGCCAGGCGCCGGTGACAGCTCCGGGCTGGGAAATCCCGGGAAAATAATAAAATCCAACCCCCGGGTGCCGGGAACGTCCTGTTTGTCACCGCCGTGCTCCTGTCCCTTCTCCCTGCCCTGGAGAGGGGGACACAGGCCACCCGTGTCCCCTCGGTGCCCGGCAAGAGGGGACCTGGGGCTGGGGACAGCCTGGTGGCAGCTGGGCCGTGTCCCCTCTGGCCGTGTCACCGCCGCCGTTAGAGGTCACTCTGCGGCCACCTCGCCACCGGACACGGCCCCGGCGGGGATGGGGCTCTGGGATATGGAGCTGGAGCTTCCCGGGAATGGGGGGAAATCTTTGGGATTTGGGGTGTTTAATCCTCCCCTCCTCCGCCCGTTCCACTGACAGAGCAGGATGTGGGGCTGTCCCCATCCCTGTCACTGTTCGTGTCCCCATCCCTGTCCCTGTTCGTGTCCCCGTCCGTGTCCCCATCCCTGTCACTGTTCGTGTCCCCGTCCGTGTCCCCATCCCTGTCACTGTTCGTGTCCCTGTTTGTGTCCCCGTCTGTGTCCCCATCCCTGTCACTGTTCGTGTCCCTGTCCCCAGTCCTGCCACCGAGCCTGTCCTGGTCCTTGTCCCCATCCCCATTTCCATCACCAGCCTCATCCACATCCCCACCTCCAGTCCCATCCCTGTCCCCATCCCTGTCCCCATCCCTGTCCCCAGTTCCTGTCCCCATCCCTGTCCCCATCCCTGTCCCCATCCCTGTCCCCACTTGTGTCCTTATCCTCATCCCTGTCCCCAATTCCTGTCCCCATCCCTGTCCCCATCCCTGTCTCCATTCCCTGTCCCCAACTCCACCTCCATATC